ATGACGAAGCCAGGAATGAGGGATAACTCCCGTCTTCGCATTTTAATTACAAAGTAAATTCCAGAAATTCCTTCTGACTAACGGGTAAATAGTACACGTTGTTTAACTGATAGCTCCAGCCCGTTTTAGTATTTTTTTTCAACCCGTCTCAACAATGGCTGTTCTGAGTCGTGTACAATGCTTTCTTTACAAATGTCAGTGTATATGTAGAGCTCTTTATTTGTTTTACCGCCTTTGGATTTTGATCTGGCAGTGATGGTGTCGGTAGCATAAAATTCTGACAATCCGATTTTCCAAAATCCCATCAGAGGCAAAGATGCATCCAAATGTACTTTAAATTTATACACTTGATTGTCCGTGAAGTATGTATCACTACTGTCACTTTTAAAATAAATATAACGATCCATAATATTTGTTGGGATGTTTCACTAATATCTTTTACTTCCTCGACCTCTACGCTGCTGTTGAATGATTTTGAAAATCCTGTAACTCAACGAAATATTGCACTTGCTTATTTCTTTTTCTATTTTTTAGATTTTCTCGATGAACAATCAACTGTTTTCGTTTTTATTTACTTTTATCAACTAACTGGTATAAAACCATCCAGATATACTTTCTCTGTTTTAGTCTTTTAATATACTGCTTTAGAATGCGTGCAGCTATTTTAAATACCTCTGTGGTGTATTGTACATTACACAAAAACTTCATCTCTATCTCCACAGTTACTCGTTTTGCTTTCCCAACACTCCTCATTTCCTCATTTAACCTCCTCACACCCCTTTTGTCACTCCTTACATTTCTATTGCCCCTTTTTGTTTTAAAATCAGGGTATATGATTTGTTTCTTATTTGTATATCAGGTAATAATTCACTTTGGTAAAAAATATAATATGGGTTGAGTTATAGATTTTTTTCCTAACTGATTAAATAGTATGCCATGATGGGTAATTGGTATTATCTTCACTGTCAGAAACACTCACATAAACTGTTGAACTGGTAATATTTTCTTATGTCAACCCTTATGTTACTTGAGTTGACAAAAATATATGAAATCAAGACTGAAAAAATAATACTTTACATAATTTAGCTTTATTATCAAAAATAATATTCCTCCATTAGAGCTCATTTATCTGTACTAAATAAATCATAATCTTAAAATCATAACCATAAAATTCGTTACAGTATACACACGGAGTCAGTCTATACTTTAAGTTCAAGTGTACTTTGTACGTTGGGTTACAGTTTACCTCCTGGGAGGGTTTCTGTATTTAACCTTCCGTATGGGAGGGTTCTGTATTTTACCTTCCTTGAGGGAGGGTTTCTGTATTTTACCTCCCGTAAGGTATCTATTGCACTCATTTTAATTCTATCCATCTTCTACCCCTCCAATTTTGACCTGAAGAATAACTATTGTGTGTCTTTTTGTTTGTATTGCTATTTTTATTATCAGAAGACATATTCCTTCCTGAAAAAGAATCACTGTTAGTTTGTGTTTGATTTCGACTATGATGTTGGTGTTCATGTCAGTTGTCAGGACGATAGTCACGTCCGCGAGAATTGTCACGATAATTGCCTCTCCTGCTAGAAATACCACGAGCACGTTCACTTGAGTTATCACGACCACATGAACTGCCACGCCTTTGAAATGCCTCATGATCCACAGGGGTTATCAGAACGACATGAATTATTTGTTGATTTATTGTATATCCTAGATCCTTTCATGGTAACATTTCTAAAATTCCCATTTCTCATAGCTGTAACTAGAGTTCTAAGGTTGGCTTCTTGTTTTAAGACCGCGGTCGGTTCATCGGAATTCACATATACCTTTTCATAACGAGTTTGGTGAAATAGTCTTTTTTTGTTCCTCAATATAATATTTTTATCTCATGTTAAAATTGCAGACGAAAGTTTCTGTTGTTAAAATGTCACAATATTCGGCAAATCAACATTTCTCTCTAAAAAGAAAAGACAATTTAAAAATGATATAACAATTCGTAAGAATGGCATATTTAATTTTTTTCTATAGATTTATAAAGAGTGTAGTTAATTGTTTGAATATGTTTGCATTTCATTCCCTGCAAATTTCTCCAGCTCGTTATTCATTGTACATATCACAACCTTTCATTTTTGATAATCAAACACGCTCATACCGATCGGATTGATCGGCTATTATGACTAACGAAAATAACCGAGAAGTTACACTTGCCCTTTCTCATTCCATAAGTGGCATCGCGATCGGCCCGGGCGCCAACAATCTTACATTTGGTTAAAAAGAAACATAATATCACTGTGGTAAACCGTACCCCGGATATTGCTCGATGTTATGAGGACTTTCGTCCTATTTCGCGACTTTGAACGAGGAAAGAAGGTAAGTTCAGTGACGATATTTTGTCATTTGGAATTGGTTTGATATAAATTTTATAGAAAAACAAATACTTATACGAAAATTTCTCTAGTTGTTGAAAACCCCAACATGTTGAGAAATAGAATTGAAAAGTAATTAGGAGGAAAAATTCGTCTCTTTGCACACGTGATAAATGATCTCAGATCAGTCAAATTTGATGTTTTTGTGCATACTTCCTTAAAAGAAAAGCTTGAATCGAGTGAAATGTGATAATGATGATAATGTTTATGTTGTAAATGTTCAATGGACAATAGGACCTCATATGAAAGTGCATTTTGAGAATGAAAACACATGTCAGTGTACCGAGTATTGCGTTGAAGTTGCCCGCCGGTGTCACGAGTATTGCTTTTAAGTGTAACGAGTATTGGTTATCAATATAGAGTAAATGAAACACTGAGTATTTATTACATTTAATCTTAAATATTTCTTATTGTGTATACTTATTTACATGATATGTGCACAATATGCAGAGTTCGAAGGTACTTTACTGGAAACATCTGCGAATAATCCAGACTTTCATTCATGCTCATGAAAAATCTCAGTCGAAGGAACTCACACTGGTAGAAATTTTCATTGTGACAGTCAGAACAGGAATATTCTTCTAGTTATGGATGACTCCGACGTTTTTGATTGACCGGAAGTGACCAGAAACGGTATTATAAAAACAGAACAATGGCTGGTAGCCGGTATACGGACGGAAATTATTATTTCATTTTTAGATGGTGTCACCCCGGTACGGAATTAGACCCAGCCCGTTGTAGAAAGTAGTTCTTTTAAATTTTGAAATGGCCTATTTCAAGTCATCTTAATTGATACTGGTTATATTTTAAGTATATCTTTAGTAATTGTGTACATAAAGTTTTATTTGTGAGTACTTTAAAGGTTGTTTTTGATGTATTTTTGCAGGATTTCTTTTCTGGGTGGAAGGTTTCAGGACAATCGCAACTACTCGGCCCTTTCCGTCAGTCTTCGGATTAGGACCTCGAACACAAAAGTATGAATACACAGAACGGATGCGGTATTTCAGTCTAACCTACGCTAAGAAACTAAACATGTAAACAAATAGTAATTTAATGCTTGGAGTTGTTTACAAGTTTATTTCCAATATATGTAGTAAAGGTTCACCTAAAATAAGTGATACCATAGGTACAAAAGCAAACAATTCATTATTTATATATTTATTATTATGGTTGTAGAAACCGAAAGTACAAAAAACCAACCTGTTGACATTTCGTCGGATTTGTTTGAAATTGAACATCAGTGGTCATATTTAAATTACAAATTGTTGTCAGACATATTTTTAAGCAAAAGAGTACCGGAACAGGCATTAGATGTCAAATATATACATTTGTTTTACATTATCTCTGTTTCTGTTTACATCTGAAACCACGTGGTAGAACTACTTTCAATCCGTATTGTTTCCGAGGTTAATATTACAGATAATAGCCGAGGCAGTTCCGAATGGTTTCAGGAGGCACTATGCACAATTTAAGAATACACACCAATTACTATTTGGAATATTCTATAGTGATTACAGAAATTAAAAGCTGCAGAAAAACTCCAAGGGCTAATGTATTATTTTTGTGCTAAATTTACCTGGACTGCATTGGTGTTTAAAGAAATGGTCATGATCTTTCGGTACCGGATTTGCTTTGTCCAGAATTTAGCCTTAAATGTGATGGATTTACTATAGGATATATGGGTCGAAAATTCAGTGGGCCTTCTCCAGATGTTTATGGAAGAATTCGAGACAAATGTGTTTCGAGTGACATTTCTATTGTGTGTCGAACACATCTGTCTCATTTCAAATTTGTCGCAATTATGAATGTTTACGAGCACATCGGTGTCACCTCGTGAAACAAATGCGCTACGAGGCAAATGTGCTCCTATAAAGCTCTGTAGTCTGTAACAACCGTTCGCCATGGGAAATCTTACATACATTTTTAGAAATGGCAAACGAGAATTTCTATAATGTTTAAATAATGAGAACCGTTAAATGCTTGTTACCTGAATAAAGTAGCGATTAATGTGGAATAATTTGTCATAAAAGTAGCAAAATGTAAACAATGTAGTATTGTATTTCAATATAAAGTATTAATTCACTATAACTGTATATCTACTCATTGCCAAAAACGTAACAGATGAAACAATTTGCCAGTGAGTAACTTTTTGGATCCATTAGAAATATCGCTGCTCAATGTAACGACTTGTTAAACAATGTCACATAAAACTATCTGGTCGCTTAACGGATAAGGTAATTATAAGCTACCTGGACTGTTAGCGGATGAAGTCAATGTAAAAGGTCACCCACCAGGATATGGTTTCAATTTTTATGGTGGAAGGTTAAACTATTGATAAGTTTTAAGTGGAGTGGGTTCTTTCTTTCTTTTTCAAAAATATTAACGTCACAAATTGATTTTAATTAAATTTTTTGTGCTGTAGTTATACTTATATAATTCTAGTTTTTAAGTAAGTACTTTTTGTGAATGACAATTACAATTTTATTAATTGATTACAGCTGTGTTCAAATATTTGTAACTATTTCATTTATTTAACTATTTATTCTTTTGCTTCTGATAGAAAATGAAATAAGAACATAACATTTTATATTTATCTTATATTTTATTTTGTTTGGTATGATAATTTAAGTATTGGATAGCTATATTTAAAAGAAGTGAAACATATTTTTATATAATTGTAATTATCTATTTGTTATGCATGATGACATTTAGATATAAAAGTTGTTTCAGTTAACTAAAGATATGAGTAAATGCACAATTTTAACTTGAAATTTGTATCAATCAAAGAAATCTTTTATTTAAATATGAAAACAAAACCTTTGTTTTAAGCAGTCAGTTATGCTATAGAATCCGTTTTATTTCTAGTTATTGTGAAGAAAAATACATGAAAAATTGGAATGCAGAAATAAAATCGCTGTAGGCTAAATCAAGTCTTTTGATTTAGTGAAGAATAAGATGAATCTTAAAGAGTTTCCAATATATACGAGTATATTCAAATATAATATCTGCTACATACTGTCAATTGGTTGAATAAGAAAAGAAGTATAAATAAAATATATTTCAGATCGAAGTACTACATTGTAAGACTCATCATGCACATTATAATTCAATTAATATGCGCTTTGAATTTATTCAATTTGAAAACGATTCCTGGTCTTCTTTCATCTGTAGGATTCCCATCATCGGGGCCATGCCTTCTATTACGCAGTAATTCTCTGGCTATTTTGGACTCTTCATAGTGTTCTGCAGTAGATAAACTCTTGCTCAGGACACATCCGATAAGACAAACCAGGAGTACAAGTTGAATATAGTGTTTCATTCTTCCTGTTGTACTTCACACCTGAAAAAGTATATTAGGTGATGTGATAAAAACAAAAACTAACTAGCGTGGACATTTGACTTTATACCAAATAGCAGATGGTGCCGACTAAAAGTAAATAAATGATCTTTTATCAATTTACCAAAGATTTCACTTTTATGTCTTGACTATATATATATATATATATTCTTTTTTTTTAAACTATAATATGATAATTTGATCATAACGTACCACAAAGAAGTAGTTAACAAATACCATAAATAGGACTTAGCATTTAGATATGCAAACAATTGCTGGTGTACAGATAGCGAATTTTATGATAAATTTCTTTATTTTGACGATTACGTTTAACAATAAGTTAAGAAAGTCAAATTTGTCCAAATGAAGAACATCATTAAAAATTAGCCATTTTAAACATCAGCAAATCTTTGCCTGTTTAAAGCACATCATCAGAAATTACTTTACCCCACCCCCGATAAATAACTATCAAGATTACAAAGACCCCCAATTACAAAATGACCTATGAACACAAAGTCGGGATTTCAAAACAGAACAGAACAGAACAAATTTTATTATTCTTTATGAATTGAACATAAGGGTTCGTCGCCATTTTAAAAAATATACAGCATACATAAAAAAAAAAGTGAGAGTTAAAATACAATCAAACAAATTTAATATTCGGTATGATCAGTCATATTCGTTATTCATATTTTCCTTTCTGATACTAAAAGATTTATGATATGATTTTTCTAATCTATTTGCTTTACATGTATTTATTTGTATTACATGTATTAAACAGGTCAATAATTTTAACAATGCTACAATGCCTATTGTAGTAATGTGGTTTAAATAATTTTCTTAAGTCAGAAAAAGTGGGACGAACTAAAACAAAATAGTGTTCACTCTCTATATCGTTAAGGTTGGGAAATGTACATTTTCTACGAATAAGTTATGGACCGGACGCAAAATATACCCTATAAGAGACTATGTTAATCTTTGACCTCCAAGTGTGACCTTGACCTTGGAGGTATGTGACCGGTTGTTGCGCATGATACATTGTCTCATTATTGTGAACAATTGTGGCAAAATCCCTGAATCGATAAGAAAGTTATGGACCGGACAGACATATACCCTCAAATAGCCAATGTTGACCTTGAATAAGCAAGTATGACCTTGACCCTGAAGGAAGGGGACTGGTTGTTGCGCATGACACATCGTCTTATTATAACAAACATTTGTGCAAAGTTTTTTTAAATTCCTTTAATAAATGACAAAGTTATGGACCGGACACGAGAGTGTGACGGAATGACGGACGTGCCAACATTTTGGTTTTATGTGCTTTTTCTTTGATTTTTATGTGGCATTTCCCCCCATAAACCAGTAAAAATTACCACATAAACCAGTCGGTTTATGGGATTTCTTCCTTTCTTTAACTAAAACTAGTGACGGAATGAAGCTCATATAGACCATTGGATGTTCGCCCGTAAAGACGCACGGAGCCTATTTCTATATCCCCCTTTTTTTCTTCGAAAAGGCGGGGGCAATAAGATTTCTAACGGTTTATCTAAAATATCAATTCCTTCTAAAATACTCGTATAAAATATAATCTTACGAACATTCTTTATCTCTGTCTAACAATTTAATAGCAAGCCTTATTTCATCTAATGTAAATGCTTCATTAAATTCTCCAAACGACGAGTCAGAAGAAACATGAGAATCAAGCTCATTTGAGTCATGTCACGACAAAACCAACATAGCGTGTTTGCGACCAGCATGGATCCAGACCAGCCTGCGCATCAGCGCAGTCTGATCAGGATCCATGCTGTTCGCTATCAGTTTATCTACTTGTTATAGGGTTGGTAAGCGAACAGCATGGATCCTGATCAGACTGCTCGGATGCGCAGGCTGGTCTGGATTCATGCTGGTCGCAAACCTATTATGTTGGTTTTGTCGTGACACGGCTCATTAAAAAAATCTATACAATCTTCATCCTCATCAATTTCTCATTCTGAGGTCAAGTGTTTAAAATGTCTACTGAAATCAAAAATGTCAAAAGATTGTCAATAGATTCGCTACAGACAGAATTCTTTTTCGATTTAAACATTTTCCATTAGTCACAATTTTTGTTTAGTCACTTCACAGCAGTATTAATAATTGTTTTCTTACTTTTTACAAAAGAATGTTCAATTTTTGAACTTTTTGCTTGATGGAAGTGTGAAAGTGCTTCTTTATAGCTTTGTTTTATTACATTTACATAAATCATTAAACCATTTATTATGATTAAGCAAAGAATGACTTTCATCACACTATGTTTTATTAGGTATTTTTCGATGTATTTCAAAATAATTATTTCCTATGATAAAGTAATAAATTAAGACATAAGATTGACCAAAGAATTCGTGCTTCGGCCGCTGTCCTTGTACTACAAGAAGGTCTTATTAATGCTTTACACAAATCTATTACTCGTTTGATCACATAACTGTGAAGTCCATTTTTGTACGAAATCTGCTGTGGTCATAGTTTTTTTTTACAATAGGTTAAGCTCTAAAATTTGGTTTGCAAATCTAAAAGTCTGGTGACCTATTTCATATTTTAAATTGCCCGTATATGCGTGTATTGCGAATCAGATTAAGAATAGTTAATTAAGAAAAATAGTTGCTTTATTATAGTGACATTATGCTTATTTTTTAATGTACAGTTGAACTAAATCAGTTTAAATTTCAAAAATTAATTATTTGAATGGTGATTGACCACAAATTGATAAAGACAAATACAAAATGATACATTTTCCATCTTTGCATAACCTGTTTCAAAATTCACAAACAGTGCAGTAGTACTAGGTACGATGTGTTCATAAACTTGAAATATGTTCATAGGACACTGACACGGATGCCCCCCACCATTCCACTAATTTGTCAGTCTACTTACGTACAGCACGACAGTATGATAGAGGGACAGACTACATGACCCTCCCTACCCCTAAGTGGTTGGTGGTAAAACGACATTTATTTTTCTAAATGTTGACATCTTGATTTCTCCCAAAATCGAGCTTTCAAGTATGCTTAACAAATCAAACCCGCGATGCACAGCTACATATGCTGACCATCATTCCTGTAAAGTTTCATGACTCTAGGTGAAATACTTTTTGGGCTACGCAGGACACAAGTTGCAAATTGCAAATTTTTACAAAATCAATGGCAATAACGCTACATATACTCAATTAGTTCACAAGCAAATCCTCAGGTGCACATCTACACATGCTGACCAATTTTCATGACTTAAGGTGAAAAACTTTTTTTTTTGGCTACACGCGACACTTGTTGAAAATTGCAAAACTGTATTAATCCACACGCATAACCGCAGGTGCTAATATGCACATGTTAATTATCGTTCATGTAAAGTTTTTTGACTTACTCAGACACTTTTAAAGCTACATGTTTCACAACATGTAGCGTTCACAACATGTAGCGCGCAAACTCACACACGCACACACGTGCGCACAGACAAGGGTATAAAATCTTATAAATCCTATTTATGTGTCAAATATTTTAATTATGGTATTAACATGAGAACGGTAGGTATTTGATATTCGGATTTCTATCTTACTCAAAAACTTGCACTCATATAATTTTTTTAGAAATTAAAAAACTAGTGATACAAATTGTATTTAACGTGAAGCTTGATTCTCTAAACCATATAAATAGGTTGAATATTCATTTCATGTATATATATGATTAAAAAAAAATACTTCTTACTTTTTGCTATTCCAGAATATCCTTTTGATAATATTCCTAAGGCGCTCTTTCGGAGTAGTAAAGAAATATGGGTTATGGTTGCGTACCGATATGTACGTGTGATGGACCTTTCCGGCTTTTTGTTGCTGAACATTTAGCCACTCCTTTTCCATTCATTGCTAGGTCTACTGCTCACAAACAGTATCACAAACATAACGACATGTACTCTTGTGTAAACCAGGTCAACCAGTGACTATGTATCCCACTTATACTTTCGAAGTAGTAAAGAAAAACGAGTTTAAAAGTAATGATTGCGTATCAATGTGTACGGAATCCTATTAGGGACCTCGCGTCCTCGCCCCTCGCCTTTTTGAAACACCGTAGGAAAAAAATACGCGAGATTCGTTGGTTACGCCACTCGTGAGAATACTATTTTTAAAGCCCACTCGATGAAATAAAATTTCATCTTACACACAAACAAACAAATATCCTCTATAACTTTCTTTGAATTATATATAACTTACCAATTGATATGAAAGCAATCGTTCCTGTCCGATCGTCCCACAGCGCAGTGATGCTAAATTACTAAATAAGTATAAGAAAAACTATAAATGTATTTGTTTATTGCTTTGATATAACTAGTTATATATATTAATAATGATTTCTGAAATATTTCAAATATTTTTATTTGAATGAAAAAAAAATCGGCCCTTTTCGATCATGCTAAGCCCAGAGATACTTAAAACAAACTAGTTAAAAATTTTACATAGGCTATTAACTATAATAGACTAGTCTTTTATAGAAAATAACCCATTTATAACATTAATTGAGCCGCGTCACGACAAAACCAACATAGTGCGTTTGCGACCAGCATGGATCCAGACCAGCCTGCGCATCCGCGCAGTCTGATCAGGATCCATGCTGTTCGCTGTCAATTTCTCCACTTGTAATAGAGTTGGTAAGCGAACAAGAATGCGCAGGCTGGTCTGGCTTCATGCTGGTCGCAAATCCACTTTGTTGGTTTTGTCATGACGCGGCTCAATTTTCAAGTACCTGTGGCTAAGATCTTTCCCATCAGTGCATTTCGAGGACTGATAATTTTATAATTTAAAATCTTAACAAATTTATGGGAAAAGATTTCAGTTAAATTCTCAGGTATTTCTTTTAATGAATTAACAATAAATGTCATTCATAAAAGCATATAATTCGGTCATGCAAAGTCCTTTCCGCGGAAAAGGGGCAATTTCTGATATCTAGTCATACCGGTCAACCAATGGTCAGCTACATTTCACCAATGCCCATTTGTATCTTAAAATTTGTACGGGATCATTGAATCGACCTCATAAAGAACGCGAAATTGTTCGGCAAACCTCGTGTTTTTTTCACCGGTGACAGAAGATGTTTTGAAACTATAAACGAATGCACAAAAGTAAAATTCAAATCTTGCCTTTCTTAAATATCTTTTTTCAAAGGAAATGAGCTGCGTCATGACAAAGCCAACATAATGGGTTTGCGACCAGCATGGATCCAGATCAGCCTGCGCATCCGCGCAGTCTGATCAGGATCCATGCTGTTCGCTGACAAACCCAATAACAAGTAGAGAAACTGATAGCGAACAGCATGAATCTTGATCAGACTGCGCGGATGCGCAGACTGGTCTGGATCCATGCTGGTCGCAAACCCATTATGTTGGTTTTGTCATGGCAGGGCTCAAATGTTTTTTTTTTTCAAAGAAAGCATTTATTTGGACGGTAAAAAAATACGAGATGTTCCCAACGAATCTCACGCTTTTTATTGCCACGGTGTTTCAAAAAGGCGCGGGCGAGGACACGAGGTCCCTAATAGGATTCCGTAGTACGATGTGTGTGTGAATCTTGTTTTTTATTTTGTTGATATCTTCTAATTGTATCTTTCATAAAACTGGGTCGTTAACTTTTATAAAGTGCTCGTAAACAATTTTTTTTAAAGTTCATACCAGGTTATAATTTGCATACATATACCAATACATAAAGTACAAGCTTAAGTGTACTTCAAAAATGTTTTAAAAAGTTTTGTTAAGGTCTATATTGGTGTATGTTTTGAATTCACAAAAACAGATAATTTATGCATCAATATGATCTTAGAGATGGATTTTTTATGCCCCTGCGAAAAAAACGAGACTAATACATCAAGATTATATTCAGATAAAAGTAATTGATTTCCTTGCAAATGCATTAAGACGGAACATAGTTGGCTCAGGCGATAATGAAATTTACTTTTTTTCTCCATTTTATAGTAAATACATGTACAATCAATGAACTTTCATGTCCAAACAATTACCTAAATTAGAAAATATATTTCACAAGGCATTACATATTGACCCATCTTCGTAAGATGTCAGCTGTATATGTAATATCAAATGAATTAGAACATGGAAAAAAACGAATCATGCTGATTTCCGACATCTAATAAGTAGGCTAATATAGAGTGATTAAAACATACGGTAAGGGTATACGGTACGGGAATACGTTTCCACATGCAATGGTACGGGAATACGTTTCCATCATATGGGTAAAGGAATAAGATACCGGAAAACGTTTCCATGTTATCATAATTTATGGGGAAAGGAATACGGCACTGGAATACATTTTCACATGCAATAGTACAGGAATTTTCGCCTTTCAATAGCGTCATTGCGGCGTATGCTGGTACTTCGAAGTAGTTACACTTTCTGCAGAAAAATATCCAGGAACATAAAGCTTGGATTACATTAAACATTTATGGTAAAAAGAAATGTATGGAAGCTTAAATTGACCCCCTAGATGCCATGTTCGTATTCAACTCGTGTGTCGGCATGTCAACATATATAAACGCCACATAACGTCTTTTTCATGTTTTGTTGTACAAAATCTAGGCATCTTGACCACATATGTTTCAGTGCATGTCGACAAACACTTTGTCCATATTTTATACTGTTAAAGGCATGTCAACATGTTTTTCTGGCATGTTGATATATCTTATCTCAACTGCACGTTAGTTATTATGAGAAATCTAAAAAACAATGGCGTCTTACCGACATTCTTTCAGGCATGTGTAAGCATGGTGCCATGTGTAAAAAGGAAGATACGATTTGGTGAAGACAGTTTAAAACATTAGTATATTATCTATCTTTTTAATTCACAGTCTTACACGCGCACACACGCACGCGCACGCGGGCGACACACCCACACCCACGCACACACGCGCGCGCGCGTTTGTACACACATACAGCAAACTAGTCAAATCGGCCCCAAGTCATATCGGTCCCAAGTCAAATCGGCCCCAAAATTAGTCAAATCGGCCTCAAAATTAGTAAAATCGGCCACACAACAACAAGTTCTAAAAGTCAAATCGGCCCTAAAACTAGTCAAATCTGTCAAAAAACTAGTCAGATCGGCCTCAAAATTAGTCAAATCGGCCCTAAAGTTATTTTGTGAAACATCCTATTTTTGTTAAACTAAACATTTCAAGGTAATAAACTGAGAATTGCGCTTAACTCAATATTGTTTAAAACGTACATTATATCATTTACTCTATTCGTATCGATGTTCTTAACAAAATCTTTTGCCTTTCCATCTAACATTCTCATTTTATATGGTTTTATTTTGTATATGGTCCTCAGAATTAAAAAAAACTTACAAGAAAGCGATATAGGATTATGAACGTCTGATTATAATGAGCAGTTTTCAAGAACATTCATGTCAATAATAGATCTAAATACATTTGACGAACACACAAAAAAATATACGGTGCTCACATTTTTACAGGTCACAGGTCAGGAGTACAAATATTGCCGTTATATGTGAAAATATATCAATTCACCATGACTAACAGCTATAAATACTTAAAAATAATGTTAAATTAATTGCCATAGCAAAAAAGACTTTAGTGTTCTTCATGTCTTACATTTTGGAAAATGATAGAATAAGTTAAGTGCAGACTATTCAGGATATTGTAGGTTGGCGTCTGTTTATTTGAAACGTATGCATGCAAGCGCAACATACACATACAAAACTTTAAGACGATCGAATTTACATGATAAGCATGTATATAGTCATGAACATAAGATTAATATTCTGTCCCTGATAACTGTTGTAAATGTTTGAAATATTCAATGATTATTTAATTGGGACGAAACTAAAAAAAAACAAAAAAAAACAAAACAAAACAACAACTTAAAAAGCGGTGATTCAACAATAATCTAATTACTGGCTAATAAGCAGTCCTGTGTAAAACATACGGGGAAACCAAAATAATCTAGATTGGCAGTAGATCTACTGTTCTACTGTTCATTTCTTTTTGTATTTTCTGATCGCAAGTAAATACAAAGCTAACATCCACGGTCTAACACAAATTTCCTAACAACGCAAAGTAGTTCTCACTCAAAACCGCCTTAAAAACCAGCAATTTAAAAGAAAAAATAATTTTTAATGTAGGCATTAAACGAATTACAGTGCATTTAAAGTTTACATTAGTCAATAGAAATATGAGGATACAATCACAAATTTCGCGGATGAATATCTTGTTTACCCAATGAAAAATAATCGGCTATTTCCGTAAAGCTTAATCAATGAAAATGCTATTTTTAGCTATGTCGATTACCGAATACTCCAGAGCGTAGTACACAAATAAATCTGACTGTCGAGTAATGGAATATATACGTGTCGGAATGTTTTGGCGAGCAGATTTCGCTAAATTATTTTCATCAGTGTTTAACAACAGGTTTATCGTGAACAAAATACCTCGAAATTAATAAGGATTACAAATACGAAATGAAAATTCTCAATTTTAGAATTACAATATATTTGTTTTTATTCACGCTACATACGTATTACTTCACTGTGGTGCAGAGGTAGCGTGCTCGTTTAGGGTGTGATCTAGAGGCCTTAGGTTAAAATCCTTGTCGAGGCAACATTTTTTTAAGTGTCTTTTTTAAGGAAGTAGCCACGATATGCAAGGATATTTGTGTGGCTGTAATGAAAAATGATTTTGATGCAACTCTAGGCATGCAAAATTCCATATGTATCAATCACAAACTGTTAAACGCAGTCGCTGCGTAAGATGAATAATAGTATATAAATATAAACTTATACAGGAAAGATCAGAAAATACCACAGAGCATGCAG